ATGCCGATCAGAATCTGTTAGAAGTGTATCTAAGGACAAGCACTATTTGTAGAACTACATTTTATCCTAGTAGCAATACTGCTGTGCCTATTCTGCTGAAACTGAGATAGTGTTATCTCAAGCACTTTTGTCCTGAGTGAGATCACCAGCAGCAGTAGTGTGATGCTGCAGTATCGAAGGTTGTATTAGGTGTGTCAGCCTCCTGCATTCAATTCAGAGCAGTTTGCTTAGGGCTTTGTCCACATGGGCCTTCAAAAACCCCCAAGGACAGAGGTTCTACAACCTGAGCCAGTGCATAATTATCCTCACGGGGGAAAGGGGTGGAAATCACATATCCAGTTGTAACCTCCCTTGTTTCAAGCTATGGCTGTTGTGTCTCATTCTCCCATGAAGCCTTCTTCTGTCTTCTCAGTAACCTACTTTACACTTTGGAAGGCAGCCATTAGGTCTATCCAAAGCTGCCTCTTCTCCAGGCTGAACAAGGCTGTGTTCCTCAGACTCTCCATACAGGTCCTGTGCTCCAGCCTCATGACCATCTTGATGGCGTTTGGCAGGTTTTTTGTTGTTCTTTTTAAATTGTAAAATCAACTTATGATTTCCAAAAAGAAAATGTTCAATTTAAATCACTTGCTAATGCAGTGTCGTAATTCTAAAGCAGAACAGGTAAAATGAGAACTGAAGGTGACTAAATTTAGGAATAATTGTTTAGGAATAGTTAAATGTAGTAATATCTTGCATAGCTAGTGACAACAGATGCACTTCCAAAGTTCTTCAGCTCACCTCTCTGAGCTGTAAAGTAGGCTGTTTTCACTCGCTTACCAGATACTGTTCTGCCTGTGTGCTCTCATGTTGGGAAAAAAGGTATTTCAAATCGTGTTGATTTCTGTACTCTGTGTTCTTAGTAGGCGGTAATGATATCAAGATTAGTGTAACCAACGAGCATTCAGAGTCCACTCTAAACGTAATGCCTGGCAAGAAAAGTCAACCATCCATGTATGAGCAGCTGCGTGACATTGCCATAGACAACATCTGCAGGTAAGAGAGAGACTTGCACCATGTTGGAACAGGTGTTCTATTTCCCTAGCAGAAGGGTATTGTGACCGTTCAGAAGGTGCTGCTCTGTGCTGCTATAAAGGCTTTCTGCCTTTTTTAATCATGACTTTATTTTCCTTCAGACACCTCTTGGTTCTGTTTATGTCCTAATTGTAAATAATAATTCAGTCTCATTGTTTTGCTTCCCACATACGTAATTCATGCTAGTCACCATTTTGATACTCAGTGGGGTTTTTGTTTTCTTCTTAGATTATCACTTTGAGTGAGCCTCCTGTAACGGAAGGATTGTTACGCACTCAAATGTGGGCAGTGTAATGATTATTCTTCACTTCTAGACAGCTACAGAGAGCTGGAGGAAAGACAAACAGTTGGTGACTAGAGACAAGAGATTAAAGTTTCTAAAGCAGTGGATTCTGAACTTGCCTTATTGCATATCCCCATCTTTATTGTTGCTGGAGAAGGCAGCAGTAGAAACTTCACTCATTTTTTAAAACACATCTACAGTGTTCCTAGGCAATGAGTTCTCATACTTCAGTATAAACTTTTTTCCCTTATACCTGGTGTGCATTTATGGTAGTAAAAAGTGAAATGTTTAATTAATGCATTTTTTTTTCCTCTGGCTGTTCTAGCGAATTTTCTATTCATTGTTATTCCAGATGCTTGAAAGCTGGCTTGACTATAGATTCGGTGATTGTTGAGGCCTTTCTTGCCAGTTTATCTAACCGTCTGTACATCTCTCAAGAGAGTGATAAGTAAGTTGTTAGTCATCAAACCAGTTTTTCTTTCATTCAATGAACCTGAAACTTATTCTAAGATGTTAAGTATGGACAGCATTATTTTAGAATTAAGTGTCTCTGAGAAAGTGAGCTTGTATGTGGGGTCAAGATCTTCCCATGCAAATCTTTGCAGAGCTGATCCCTTGTATGGGCTCTTGAGTGGCATGGATTCATTTTTATCTGATTGAATCAGGAAATCTTTTGTGAGTATTAGCCAATTTTGAGTCCTAGATTGAGTGATACTCTCTCTGCTGTATCCTTTAGGCTTTGGCTACCTTCTATAGCTTGACACAGCTTGTCACTTGTGGCATTTGACTTGCTTCACTTTAAGAGACTCGCCAAGCACAAAACCTCCAAGGAGAGGTCCTGTAGTAGCTGGTCTGACTGTCATGTCTTAATGTTTTGCAGATCACTTTTACCTCTTTTCACGGTTGTTTCTAGAACAGTTTGTTCATGGATTAGTGTGGGTTTCTTGGATAGTGTGCTTGCAGGTGTTGGGTTTTTTGGGGGGTGTTTGGTTTTGGTGGGTGTTTTTTTTGTTTTTTGTTTGTTTGTTTGGGTTGGGTTTGTTTTTTTTTTTGAAAACCAACTTAGAATAGAATCATAGAATCATTTAGGTTGGAAACGACCTTTAAGATCATTCAGTCCAACCATTAGCCTAACGCTACCAAGTCCACCACTAAACCAATTAAGGGTAGAGTAATAATTTCACGTTTCCTGGCTTGGTGGCTGGATTATTTTTTAATGAAAGTAAAAACTAGGAATCATTAAGGTTGGAAAGGATCTCTGAGATCATCAGTCCAAAACTTGTGCAAGTATATCTCTAATGTTAATGTTGGGAGTAGATGGGTATGTAGAGTGGCAATATTAAAGATGTTAGTGAAGTTTAAATTTAGTATATGAACTGTTTCTTACATCAATTGTAACCATGCTTGGAGGTCTTGATAACTGTTGAAAAGTTACATGTTTGGGGTTTTTTTGTTTGTTATTTCTAACAGGGAAGCTCATTTGATTCCTGACCACACAATTCGTGCTCTAGGGCACATTGCAGTGGCACTGAGGGACACCCCAAAAATGATGGAACCCATCCTACAGATCTTGCAGCAGAAGTTTTGCCAGCCACCTTCTCATCTTGATGTACTCATCATTGATCAGCTGGGCTGCTTGGTCATCACTGGAAATGTAAGGAAAGAACTGGTCAAGAGAGTCCCAGTTCATGATCCCTTTCCTTTAGTTAAAGGAAATGTATTTTAGAAACTGCATTTGCAGAAGTTTTTTAAGGTTTTTCTTTTCTTCGCCACAGGTATGGGCTTGTACAATCCTCATGTCTCTGTGACATCTGAAAAGAAAAGCTAATAAATGTGTAAAATGCTGTCCCTGTAAAGAAGATTAATCCCCATAGAAAATAATAAAAGTTTAAAAAAATAAATATTTTAAAAACTCAGTGTTTTCAAAAGTTACTAAGAAGTTTGTAATCTTGGCCTATGTCCCGAATAGATGCCCATCATCTTTTTTCATATCAGTAATTAACTTTCAAAGTCTTGTAGGTCTGTGCATTTAAAAGTGTAGATTGCCTTTTTCAGCCATACAAGGATTAATTGCTTACCTTTTCTGAATCTAATTTGTGCCTCTGAGTGAGCAATTAATTGCCAGAACTCAGAAGCATGAAATAAGGTTTTCCATAAGGAGGGCAGAGTTAAAGAACTTAATAAATTTTGTAAAATTTCAGCAATTAAAAAGTCTAATAAAACCGCTTCCACTGTGTGCTTTATGGAAGCTGAAACTATTGCTCAGGCTATGACTAGATACCTGTCTGAAGAACTTTGTAATACTTAATGTATTTTACAGGGTTGTTTTTCAGACAGATTGTGTTCAATAAGCTCTACTTAGTGATCTGTTTGGGGTTTTTTTACAGCAATATATTTACCAGGAGGTGTGGAATCTGTTTCAGCAAATCAGTGTTAAAGCAAGCTCAGTTGTTTACTCTGCCACAAAAGATTATAAGGATCATGGATACAGGTAACACAGCTGTATGTCCCTTAAATGTGTGAATACTGTATTGAATATCCTTTATTCAATCAGGGATTTTAACTTTTTCCCAGTATAAGTTTTAGAACGATGTTATAAATAGTCCTGTTTCTTTTTCTTTGATGTTAAAAAGTAATATATTAGTTTAAAAATAGTAGCATTTCATAATGTAGGGATTCCTAAAAATGTTTTTCACTACAAAAAGTAGTACTGATTTCTGCCCCTCCCCCCCGTTAAGGAGTTAATGTTTGTAAATGATAATTGACATTGATGACTTATGTTATCTGTAACGGGAGTAATTAATCTCTTAGCCTAGAAAAGCTAATGAAGTTCCATTGGCGTTTTTTGTGCATGTTGTTTGTTTGTTGTTTTGGTTTTTTTTTTTTTTTTTTTTTAAATGTGGTCCCAGTACTTGTTAGGGATTAAATGCAAACTGTGAACAACTCAATTCTTAGTATGTAAGTATGCATTTTGGTCCCTGTTATAATTAAAGATTATCACCAACTTTGCTGTAGTTGGGGTAGGCTGGATATCTTTTAATGCAGTATGTCAGTAGCTGAGAGGACTATTCCTGTCAGTATGTTTTAGCATACTGTCTGACCCAATGCAATCTCAGCTTTAACAATAACTGATACTAGTTCTGATTCTGCTCAAGAGCTTTCCCAATCAAGAAGCACAGCCTTTTGCTGCTTCTTGTCTGTAGCTGTATCTGCTACAGGAAGTAATTTCCTTTTGGCCATGACAGCATCATAAACGAAACATCCTCCAGAGGCAAAGCTTACAAATAGTTTTTCACTTAAATACTGATTGCATTTCAATTATTAGTGAAGTGATGTGCTATTCATAACCCCCCCCCCCCCCCAAAAAAAACCCTCTGAGTAAAAAAAACCTTCTTTTTGAAAGAGTTACTATCAGCATTATGAAGAAAGCACTGAAAATATAAAACTTTGAGGAATTGCTTGTTCATAACTGTTTTTTCTTCTCAGACACTGTTCCTTAGCAGTCATTAATGCCCTAGCTAACATCGCTGCTAACATTCAAGGAGAACACCTTGTGGACGAACTACTGATGAACTTGCTGGAACTGTTTGTTCAGCTTGGGCTAGAAGGAAAGAGAGCTAGTGAGAGAGCAAGTGAAAAAGGACCGGCACTGAAGGTCGGATATTTACTGATTTTTAATTGTATGGAACTGTGCATTTATATACTAAACATAGTCTTCTGTATGTTTTTTTAACCAAAACCACACCCTTACGCACACAGAAAAAAATCATGCTTCGTTAAACCTCAGAATGTGTTCTGCTCATGGAATATGACTGCAGGTCTGTAATGCCTTTCAAACACCTAACTAATCTGTGTATAGTGTCTGAGATAAAGCAGAGGTATACCTGTTCAGCCGAGCCTGATTTTGTGTGAGGCTGAGTAAACTGTCTGGAGTGTTGAGCTGTTAGAGGCAGAGCTGCAAAGAGAAGTACAGAATGCTGACTACTGAATGCCTTTTACTAATTCTTAAAGTTTCTTTTAGATGTGGCAGAATTCTAATTTTAGTGGTGTCATGAGATCATAGGAAAACTCAGTTTGGAAGGGACCTCAGGATGTCATCTAGTCCCATCTCCAGCTTGAAGTGGTCAGCTTATGTTATCCTGATTAATCCTGAATTGCTGCTATGAATGGGTGTATCTGATTCCCCCCTGCCCAAGATCCAAGCTAATGCAGGCCTATCTGTCTAGGCTTATAATGGAAACAGTGCAGTGAAGTGAAAATTACAGATTTAGTAAAAATCTCTGATGATTTTTAGGGGTGCTTTATTTAGAGAGCAAGTTTATTTGAAAAGCTTGTGTAAGAAAGATGAGACATCTATTAGATTAATTTGTATGGTAGGAATACTTTGCAGAAGAGTTTATTTGAGTGGTTTCGCTTTAAAATAACATTCTTTTAAAATGCAATTTTCAATTGTGGTTTGTGAAATTTAACACATCCTGGCCTTTAAAAGTCTATGAGAAGGTTTGGAAGAGGAATGTCTTCAAATGCTAACTGAATTTCTGCAGGAGCAGTTTATATGCAGTTACTTTATTCACTCAGAACTCTCTGCTTTTTTTTCTTATGTGAAGACTTTTTCACCTCACTTTGTATTAGCTTTTCTTCCCATTTCAATAAAGTATCCAGAGTACTTGATGTACCTGTTCTATTTAAGAAGCAAACAAAAACCTCAGCCTTTCCCACAATACCTTCCTTTCATCTTTGCTCTAAAATATACTCATAAACAAGTTGTTAACCTTGACTTTTGCTCTTGAGATATATATTATCATTTGAAAAGCAAAATGTGGTTGCTTCCTACTCAAAAAAAATCAGAGCCTTCCTCTGGTTATGTTCCTCCCTAGTGTTCAAATGCTGTAACCTCTTGGCATTCATGCACTGCCTTAGGATAACTTGTAAAAACTCACAGTTTTTGATAGTGATTTTATATACAAAAAATACACTTGTATGTTTTAGTAATTCAAACGTGTTCATACTGGAAAGTTAAGTTTTTCTTGGAGATGTGGTTTGAGAGCTGTTCCCTGCTTTTTAGGGCACATAGGTAACACTTTCTTTTGAAACAGACACATTTTCTAGTACTGAGGGGAACAATGTGTTTTTCTTTTTAACCTCCTTTTTTCTCCCCTCCTGTGCATGCTACATTTTAATAGTACAAAGTTCTTTCTTTATCCTTTTATTGGATGGGTGAACTCTTGGTAAATCCCTCTGAAATGAATGTTTGCTTTGAAGATAGACTACATTTAATCATGGATGCTAACTTTTCTCTTAAAAGGGAACTAGGACATGTCTAGAATCTGCTTTTCGTGAAGTCTATGGTGGAAAATTTCTCTCCATGGGTTTCATAGATTCTTTTAACCACAGATAAGTGAGCTGAAATGGTGAAACGCATTTTGTAAACATTGCTCTAAAATGACACTTCTAAATTAGTTTCCACCCTCATCCTTTCAGGGATATTTTTCCACTGTTTCAGTTTTGGAATCACTATGGGAGGCAAACTGCTGCACTGACTTAAAGCCACCTGCAAACAGAAAAATATGTGATTGATTTAACATGGATTTGAGCTAGGAGGCAGTGTTTCTTTATTATGAAGATGATATCAGTTTTCACTAGAACACTCTTTACTCAACGTAGAGTAAAAGTTATGAAAGGTGTTCTGATGACTGAGTTACTTCATTTTCAAGAAGAGATAAAGTAGGTAAAATACCGCACATGCTGTGCTCCCAAACAAAAGCAATTTTTTTCTTTGATAGTTTACCAATGTTCTCTGCTTCTCAGCATACCTTTTTATGGACTTAAATTTGCTCACTAAACATTAAAATGCTTCAGTGGCCTACTTGTTCTGTTTTAAACCAGATTTTTCAACCGTGCAAAAGTGGCTTCTGTGAGGGGAAGAAAAATAACTTTTTTTTTTATTGCTGATCGTTAACATGAATGTCCACTAAGTATGTCCAGGGATGGAAGTCATTGGATCTTCTTCATCTGCAGTGCCATATATTATCATAAAGAGGCTGATATTCCAATTATTTTAACAAAAATGCTGGTAGAAGGGTGGGGTTTTTACAGGTCTGTCTGTCTGGTGTCATGTGCTGGGTTCTGGCTATCTCAGTTAGCTTGTATGTCTACTCTGACTATGCAGCAATTTGTCATGTGCAGTAGACCCATCCTGATGTTAGCAAAAAAAATACAGTGACTTTTTCCAGTTGTTCCTACCCCTTAGAGTGACTTGAGTGCTGTTCTTTTATTTCCTTCAAAAATATTTAAGGGTCCATCTTTTGTTTTGCTTTATCTTGGACACTACAGAAAAGATAACTAAAAATGTGTTTTAGTTGGGTTGTATCATTATTGTTTCATCTGAAGACTATTTGGCTTTGTTTATCTCCCTCTCTCTTTTCTTCTTTTTTTTTTCTTTAAATTGTTTCCTTTTGGTTTATCCCACTTGATGCAAAGCTGTACCCTGTTAGCATGTCTGTCTTGCCTCCTCCCTGTGGGACCAGCGGTCTCTGTACCTGGTCTGTTGTAAGGAGGAAGCTGGAGAGTTCTCCCCCTCCTACATCCAATGTGGAAGGGTGTGGGAGGTAGGGAAGGACTTCAGAAAGGAGATGTCTCTGAGCATGGTATCTGTGCTATCACTGTTTGCCTTATCACAGAAGGTGAGAGACAATGTGCTGTGTGCGGTGAATGTTTTCAGTTTTTAAACACTGTATTTGGCCAAGAGCAAACACACTTGCATACAGTACAATTTTAAAAGTCCTAATAAGTCAAAGGAAATGTGTATTTTCCTTATGCTTCTTACATTTCAGTGGAAAAGGCTGCTCCGCCTGCTTAAATAAATTCTTGAAAATGGTGTCTTTTTACAGACTTGTTATTTTTGGCTTCATTTTAGTAGTAAAATGAGACTTTCAGTAAACATTTGTCACTTGTCTGTGGCCACCCATTTAATGTGAGCATTTCTCTTGCAGTAGTTGGATGTCAGAGTAGACATGGTGTCATTGAATATTCCCCCCACCTCTAGCTCAAGGCATAATATCTGACTTCCAAACATCGAAGACTGTGCTGGAAGGGGAGGAAAATCCCTTCATTACTCTATGAGGAGACACCTGAAAAGTTCTGGTGAAAGACTCCAGGGTGTGCCCAGTCCTGTGGATTTTTGGGGTGCTCTCTTGGCCACCTCATGCACATCTATTTGCAAGATACAGAGTTGTAATTGGCAATGTATGTTTTCATTTGCATAGACAGTAGGAATGTTTGATGCTTGAAATATGTCTTGTAGCAGGTATTTTAGAAATGCTTTTGTAGATGTTTTGATAATTTCCTTTTTCTTTTCCAGGCCTCCAGTAGCGCAGGGAATCTGGGTGTGCTTATTCCTGTTATCGCTGTGGTGAGTATCCAATGGTTGGGCTGTTGCAAACAGAATAACTTTTCTTACATATATCAAATACCAGTACTATTTCATGGTCAAATGGTTTGATTAACAACTAGTGCAGAAGTAAGCATCCAAGAGAAATACAGTAGTATTGTAACATAATATTTCTTGCTCTAAGAGGGGGGGAAACATTTATTTAGTAATGACATATCTCTTGAAATAATTAATCTTTTGTTATTCAGGGTTAGATTGTTGCTAGTCATAAATTCAAGAGAATCATGAGCTAAATAATACCACAGAAGATATTTCTTTGAATAGTGTTCGGCATGCAATGTAATAAACAGCATGTATCTGTGGCCCGAGCAGAAAAGTGAAAAACAAAAGTTAATAGAAACACAGGTAAAAATAAATTTTAGTTTGGCAGCACAGTGAATTCTGCTTCTTAAAAGGGGAGTGGGGGGGCAGGAATCATTGAGAAAGGAGGAAGGAGGTGTCCTGTGTCTTCTGAAACTAGAATTGGCTGTCATGCTGAAAGCATTTTAGGAAATGTGCAAGGACACTGATGTCCATTCCAGACTCATTTATTTTGATGTGCATCTGGTTTTGGTCTTGGATAACACTTTTCCTGAGGGAAAAACATTTTTTTTTTAACAAAGTATAACTACTAATTCAGCCAAAAATTGGTGTGCAACCATTCTGGATCTCCAACAGAAAATTTGATACGTCTAAGCTGGGTTTCCAAGTCAGTAGGACTAGTTGCTTAACTGCTGTAGCTTTTACAAAAAACATCATGTCTAAAAGATCCATAGACAAACTGCAACTTACTGGAGGACAAAAAGCATCATGTCACTTTCTCCCCTCCTGAAGCTGAATTCTTCTGTGGAACTTTTCCTGCACAGCTAGTGGGACAAAATGGGAAAATATATTACATATTTGCAGTAGGCATGCCTACTTGTAACTTGCTCATGCTGCACATGCATTAACAAGCAGAAAAAAATAATTAATTTCATACTCTGCCCTCACAAACCTCTTTACTGAAGCTTTTCAAAGAGAAGAGCCTAAAATTAGCACTGGTTAAAGATCAAAGAACTGTTCCTTTCCTTCCCCTGTATCTTCTACCAGTTTCCAACATAAGCTCTTCCTGAATTCACCAGCAATCACAAGGGCCAGATCCTAGCTTTACAGAAATGTGTTTATAAAAGTCTTGGATGGCTGTTATTCAATAGCTGCTCAGTTTTTGCATGAACTAGCTGGTCCTGTGTTGAGAGATATGTTCTAGTGGGTAGTATTTTTCAGCTGTCAGTAATGCCAGCACTGATTTGAGTAAAAGCAGGATCATTCCTTGCATACTGAGAAAAGACCAGTGCTTGTTAGCGACTTAATGTAAAAGTTACAGAAGTACTTTTCTGTTCAAATTTTTATTGATGATATATTTGTTCTGAATAGCTGGTGATAACTGCATTTTTCTTAACCAATGTGACCTTTAAATGTAGTCAGATAGTGCCAGGATCTGAAGCAAGAGTTAATGGTTACATTAGGGTTGTTGAAGCAAATATTTGACTTTCTTGCACAATGTATGAAGATCATGAGTTTTGAGCAGTAGCTGATTTGCTTTTCTGCT